GGAGCCCTGGTTGCAGATGGACAGAATTGTCATTTGTCATTTTGACCAGAGCGGTTTCTGTGCTGTGGATGGCACGGAAACACAATTGGAGTGTTTCGTGAAGGGAGAGAAAGGAGTGAAGCAGAGAAGCAACAACTTATTCCAGGACCTTGAAGAGGAAGGGGAGGTTGGAGATGGGGCGGTAGTTAGGAAGTAGAGAAGGGTCCAGGGAGGGTTTTTTAAGGATAGGAATGATGACAACGGTTTTTAAAGGGGTGGGAACAGTACCAGAGGACAGGGAGAGGTTAATGATATCAGTGAGTAGAGGGGCGAAGAGGTGGAGCTGGGAGGTAAGGAATTGGGTAGGGATGTGGTTGAGTATCAGTAGTTTACTGTAAGTAATTGTATATTTACAAGTAATTATATAATACAAATATAAGGAAAATGTTGGGAGGATTAATATATTACAAGATTGCAAGAGAGATTTAGATGAAGAAGGCCCTTCAATCCATTTAATTTTATCCTTCCAGAATATCCACCCTACTGACCTCTCATTACAGTAATGAGAGGACAGTAGGGTGGATATTCTGGGAGGATGAAATTAAATGTTCCTTTTCCAGCGTCCTGGCCTCAAGCAACCTTCCTGATAACCTGGTCGAATTTTCATTATCCTTTGAGTAACAAAATACTTCCTGGTATCTGCCCTGAAATTTCCCTTTGCGTCCCTAAAACCTCTTGTCTTCCTGTTTGTTCTTGCTATGTGTCCGACTGAATGCATGGTTCTGGGTTTCCTTTCTCAATCCTATTTAAAATGTTATATACCTCTATAATGACCCCACTGAGACTTTCCTTTCAAGACTGAAGAGCCCCAGCTTGACTAATTGTTGATCATATCTCATTCCTTTAACACTGATCATCCTCGTGGCTCTCCTCGCAGCCCTCCTTATTTCTCAGCAATTAGACATGTATGTGCAGTACTCCAGATGTGCCCCGACTACAGCACCAGACAACTTTAATTATGACATCTGGTGTAATATGATCCCATTTAAGTGATTATTTTTATTAAAAATAGCAGAAGTCTCTTTGGGTTTCTTTAAATTGCTCAGTGAAAGGTTGGCTATTTCACGTGTTTTCCCTCTATTGGAAGTCTCTGATTGAGACGAGTTAAGACATTGCAGGTCAGAGTTTTGGTAAGGCCCAAAGCCACAAACACCTAGCATCTGCCAACTATGGAGGAGGAGAAGGGGGAGGATGCTGACTTGCTGATCTCTCCAGGTTTCATTGTCCATTCCAAAGCTTCAACACTGTAATTTGTGAGGTGTGAGGTTTTGTAATCAATGACGTGCTTGGAGCTGAGGTGGGAAATTTAGCATAGCATGACATGGTCGTAGCTAAAGTAGGAGAATTAGTCGTCTGCGACATGTTTATAGCTGACATAGAGCTGTGGAAATCTATCACATTATCATGGCTGAGATTCAGATTGAGGTTCACTCTGCTAACTTGCAAATAAGCTGCTTTGCCACCAGGTTTACAGTTTGCAACCATGCAGACACGAGGGCGTTGTGGATTTCATTTATATTGGTCTGACCCAGGTTGTCTCAGACGATAGTATTATGTCATGCCGCTACGGGAAGTTTGAATCTCACTGACAGTGGCTGGGTGAGTGGCACAGCCTTCAGCTGCTGGGGTGATTACATATGGTCAAGTCATCTGCTCAGTGAACTTTCCCTGCGGGTGAATAAAGCAGGAGCTGCATGCAGTGAGCAAGATACGTGTCATGAATGGTGACTTAAGACTGGTAAAGTGGATGAATACAGGGAATAGGAAATAGGAAATCATCATTAGCGAAAAGGTTGAGCACCAAATGGAGCTTCTTATTCTGAAGTGGAGTGTATAGGAGATGTGATAGGAGCAGGGAACTTACTCATTTGCTTATGAGCATTTGTGTAATCCATAATAGCTTTTAAATGGGAACTAAATGCATCTTTGATGAGAAAATGTACATAAGATTATGGGAAAAGATAGAGGAGTGGGACAAAATGGATTGTGGCATGGGCATGATGTGTGAATGACTACATTTTGTGCTGGGAAAATTCAATAGCGTGTATGTGCATACCCTTGCACACTTTTTAGCAGCTTTTGTTGCATGTCTTGCCCTCCTCACCCCATGAGCAATGAGCATTGTATATTGTTGGTGCTGCCCGAGCTGAGATCAGCTGATTGAGTACAAATCTGAGATCAATCTGGCAGTTGAATATTTTTTAATTGCTGAGCATCTGTTGGGATGCTGCAGGTTTATCTTATCGTCGTTACAGAGAAGAGATAGAAGCATATCGTGGGTTTAGTGTTCTGTGAATCACCAAGTTCTGCTGTGCATATTGTACCACGTGGTGACTGAATTTGTATTTTAAGATGGTGATTTCACATGGCACTGAATGTGAAGGTGGGAGAGGCAGATTGCAGGAACAAATTCAAGAGGGAAACAGATAGCAATCTGGCGAATAAATAGATTGAGGGGTATGAGAGGGACAGAGAGAGAGAATTTCTGCCCAATGTTCTGACAGGAGGGGTGGTGTAACCTTTGCAGTTTGATGGAAGATTCCAGGTGTAATGACAAATTCCAATGCTTGATCTTCAACAAATCCATTGGAGGAAGGGAGACATAATTATGCCATTGGCTTTGAATATTGACCTGAGAGAAGATAAGCTTAAGACATATTGTGTGTGTGTGTGTGTGTTGCATTTCCTGATGATGCATCAAGTAATTGCGGGTGTAAACAAATGCTTTGTTCAAAAAATATCCACACCAAGTGAACCATTGATATTAAGTCCACACATACAGCATAAATTGAATGGAGGTTAACTTCTTCAGTCTACGTACAGAATTTTGTAGCTCCAGATTTGAGCAATCCAGTGCGATAGACTGGATGAGTGGATTGTTTTTTATACAGTTTGCCTGTCTTGCAATGCTTTTCAAAATCTAGTTTTCATTGCTGTTTTTGAGTTGGATTGTGTTCTGAGATGCTGCTTTTCGAATAAAAATCTGTTCTGTTGCAGTGAGAATTAAAAAAANGTTGTGCAACAGCTGGATAGGCAAGTTGGAAAGGGTGGTGTCAGACTTGGCTATGTACTTATCCTCCACTTCACAGTCTACATATCCATCGGCCAGCAGGCATCATAATTCATTTGTCTTCAACTGGATTGTCAGATTTTACTGTCTCATCTTGGCTGATTACTGTTGAATTGTAGGGCCCAGAACATGGTCTGTGTGTGTGTAGGAGAGAGAGACTTGGCATAAATGTGTTAATGTCTTGAATCTATGCCGTGAATGCAATCTTTCTTGTCCTTTTAATATCTGCTTACCTACTGTTCAGTCTAGCAGATGTAATCGTGCTTTAAATTAAAGTAATTTATTTTGACATTTTACTGCTGATGTCGGAAATGACGGGTTTCTTTTTAAGAGTTTTATTCTCGTAAAAGGGAAGATAAATGTCTGGGAAATAATTGAATGGTGCTTTTGTGGGGGCGAGTGTTCAGTCTGAAAACCCATTTTACTGTTTTAACGAGAAGCTTAGGGGAACAAATACAAAGACAATTTAAATTTATATTGTACCTTTCACTTTGAGAAAACAGTGTGAAGGTGGTGAAATAAACTAGCAAAGCTGGTGACCTGACTTTGTGTTGTAAACTATCAGCTGTGGAAATGTCAGAACCACATGTTGTGGTCTTGGGAAGGACCCTGGATCACTGAACGTAGCACTTATTGGTGGATTTTGGGCCAGTCAATGAAATTGCGAAACACGCAACTAGCTCGTAATGAGGATGCTTGTTATAATAATAATAATAATATAATTGTTGCTCCGGTGGTAGAAAGCAGTATGTCAGGACAGAAGGGTTATGAGCTTGCTCAATCTTGTTCAGTATTCTTCGTCTCAGTGATTGAACTTCTGATGTCAAGTTTACTTGCTGTCCACGTTCACCTTGTTGTCTTGAGTATTGGTCAGTATTACAGCAGTGGGAAGAGAGGAACTTGCACTGACTTTTCATTTAGCACACCATGTTCTCTTTGCCAAAGTGAGGACCAGGGTTAAACAGTTGTGAGTCAGTAAATCAGATACTTGGACTTCCAGAACATCCATGTAGCTGGCACATCACAAGTTACCTTTTCGATATCTTAGGTCCATCTACCTCATTGCGAGCAGACATGAAATGTCTAGACTATTATTGTCTTGAAATATGGGACTTTTACAGCCTGTGGAGTGGGTCAATCCCTCAGTTATCCAATAATAATTATATTTGGTGTAGCACCTTTCATATCAGGAGGGATTCTCAAAGTGCTTCATAGGATTTTTCGTAAAGAGTAGTGACTGTATTTTGTAAACAAAGATATCTGGAGTGGATGAGATCTCAGGGCCCAAAAAAGGACTTAAGGACTCGTGGAGCCCTGTAGCTCAGTGGTTAAAGCACTCGCCTTGCAAGCGAGACACCTGGGTTCAATTCCAGGCAGGGAGAAACCTTGGGCAAGTTTCCTTACTCCACACGCCTAATAATAATCCCTCCAAAAAAACAAAACAATAATAAATTGGTCATTTTCAATCCACGACTATTTGTGGGACCCCCTGTGCGCAATTGGCTGCCGTGTTTCGCCCACAAATATACAGTTAATTCACTTTACAGCATATTCTGTGAAGCGCTTTGAGACGTCTGAAGACGTGAAAAGCACTTTATCAAATGCAAGGATTACTATTATTATTTGTTCTAATTCACCATATATTGATACCAGTAAGCTTGCTTAGGCAGTTAATTGAAAACCATTGCAGAGAAACTCCTCCTATTCAGAGAACCATGTTTATATAACAAGTTACAGTGCGTTGACTGAGAATTTTGGTCAGAATCAGCAACTTATTTTATATCACAATTAAATATTCTAATCACAATCTTTACATAGTGTTGAATTATGGTAAGTTAGGTTATAATATAGCAGCAAAATATTCTAATATTTCTTTTTTTTTAATTGACAGATGGAGTTCCTCAGGTTTACTATTTTGGGCCATGTGGAAAATACAATGCTATGGTGCTTGAATTACTAGGACCTAGTTTGGAAGACTTGTTTGATCTTTGTGACAGAACATTTTCCCTGAAGACTGTGCTTATGATTGCTATTCAACTGGTAAGTATTTCCTTTCTTACGTTGCGCTGAAAAGGGCCAGAGATTTCAGTCAATATGTTTGTCTCTGAGCTTTATGAAGAGTTATTGTGTGTCAGGCTTCTTTGTGTGCTTGTCAGATTTTTAAAAAGAATAAACAATAGTGGAGACCATTTTACTGCAGAAGTTGGGATCGATAAAATCCCAACCAGCACTATAGCCAGTTTCACTGCACATGTGCTTTGTAGCCCCACTTCTTTGCTGCACATACACAAAGTAGGAAGTGACATTGCCATCCTATTAACCCAGAAGTCAGCTAATTGACCCATGAAAGATGGCCAACACGTATAAAGAATTGGTCCATAGTACTATTCTGTTCTAACCAAATTTACGTAAATTTTTTTGTGGGGGGTGGGGCGGTCAGCTGGGTGTCTTACACATGCAGAAACGAATCACCATGTATAGCACCACACACTCGCAAACGTATCCAAACCAAACTGAGATTTCATTGCATCCGACCTACACATGGGTGTAGATTGGTAGAATTTTGGAATGGAATGGGCACTCTCTCCCAGGACACATCCTGCTTACCTAATTCCAGAAAGTATTAGGTGCAGATTGGCAAAAGCCAAGGCTTGGAGACCCATAGCATGCTTTGGGTTACTGCCAGAGCCTAACCAGGTAAAACCGCAGAGCTTGCCATTGATCTATTTGCGTTATAAGAGGCATGCACTGTACTTACTATTCCTTCATATTAAATTAGAAGCTAACTGTGGAGTCCTGTAGCTCAGTGGTTAGAGCACTCGCTTTGCAAGTGAGAGACCTGAGTTCAATTCCAGGCAGAGGGCGAAACCTTGGGCAAGTTTCCTTACTCCACACAGAGCCTAATAATAATCCCTCCAAAAAAACCAAACAATAATAAATTGGTCATTTTCAGTCTACGACTGTTTGTGGGACATTGCTGTGCGCAATTGACTGCCCCGTTCGCCCACAAATATACAGTCAATTCACTTTACAGTGTGTTCTGTGAAGCGCTTTGGGACGTCCTCCTGACGTGAAAAGCGCTATATCAAATGCAAGGATTATTATTATTATTATTAACTGTGGAGATTGACTCTATGTGCTGCACTGTAGCATCATTCATGACTTTGACAATTCTTATGTATAGTGTGCACTGGTAGTGGCATTTTGAAATGAAACTGCCTGCTCCTTGACCTCTGACTTGACTTCTTTAACCACTACTGGCTTGGTAACATATCCACCTCAGTTCCTCGAAGTTGTGAAGCTGGATGTTCCTGAACACCTGACCACAAGGGGAGATCTCAAAGCTTGTGTTGAGCTGGCAGTTTGATTACTGCTCAGAACTGAATTTGGGTACCCTGGAGCCTGAACCCTTGTGCATAAATATGTATGGTAAAAATTTGTAGAATGGTATGAATAAGAACTGCCATACGGTTACCTGTCTTTCCCAAGTCTGGTGCCTCAAAGTTGACAACAGGAAAAAGCTCCAAAAAGTGTCTGGGTGGTACTTGAAAGTAGCGAACCTCTGCACACTTTCTTTCTCTTCACCACAGCACTTTGGATTGAGAAATAAGTTTCTGTTTGGTTGGTAGAACATGGATGGTCACTCGCAATGGAGATTAGGATTTTACTGAGAAGTTACCAAACTGATACTGGGTAAAGATCTTCCCAGGTGGGAAGAGCACAGGTTCAAAGGTTAGAGGCTGTAAGGTTGGTTCTTGTTGCTCAGCATTTGAGCTTCTCAGTGGTGACAACAATCTGCAGCCTGTTCAGTGCATTACATAAAAACGTGCTCTGCATGATTGCCTTGCCCAGGGTTGCTTTGCATCAATCCCCATCTCTTATATCATGTAGCTGCTTTCAACATCATCACGGAGGACTCATCTGCCTGGATAGGACTCCTTACGCCCCTGATATAGATGAGTGATTATACAGGAAGGAAATAAAGAGGAAAATGAGGGAAAAAAATGTCTCAACCCTGAGTAATGAGAAATAATATGCACACAGTTCAAAATCTGACACAGTTCTTAGTTGTCTGCAAAAGATTTAAATAAGTGACTGTTTGCACTTGATTATCTGCGGTAGTACTTTCTTTGTCCTGACATGAACAATGCATTTAGGCTATTCAAGGCTCGCATATAATAGCATTATTGGGCTGTTAGTAAGTCCTGTCTTGGCTTTGGATCTGGAGATTGCTGGCAATATATTGATGCACTTCATGTACAGTTGTTGTGTTGTTCTTGTTGGGAGGAATTTCTGGAACAAGCTATTCAACTTGTGAGAGCAAGGACTTCACTCAGTTGTCTGTTGTCTGAGTGATTTCTGATTATCCTCGGCAAGGGTGAATGTGTGTGTGTGGGAAGGGGGGAGGGGGGGTCGCGGAAAAGGTGGCTTCATTGTGACTCGGCTTTGGGAAGTGTTGTTTTTGCTCACAGTTACATCAGTCTTGCTCTATTACATGTGGTCCAACTGGCCCGGGGGATGGTTTCATTCGGCCTGAGAACCACTTCCAACTTTATTGTCTGAAGAGCAAATACGACACGCAGGAGATGGTCATCATGGTCATCATGAGCTCAGGCTCTGCCTGGCAATGGGACTGACCACTCAGGATAAATAATTGCTTATGTGTATTATTATTTATTATTATGTGAGCTGTGGACGTTTCTCAAATCCAGCACCCGGCCCTCAGCAGCCAAAAGGTTGGACTCCCTGCTCTACTGTTACCTTCTACTTGTCATTGTACTCCACTTCTTTGATCTTTTACATTCCGTGTATCAATCATTTGTATTTGGGCTCAATCTACAACAACAACAACTTGTATTTATATAGCGCCCTCCACGCAGGGTAGCATCTCAGGGCGCTTAACAGTGGCGGAGACAGATTCCGAGCCGATGGGAGTGGGGAGATGGCTGTAAGCATGGTCGAAGAGGAAAGTTTTCAGGAGGGACTTAAAAGAGGGGAGAGAGGGGGCAAGGCAGAGTGATTGAGGGAGAGTGTTCCAGAGTTTCGGGGCGTAGTGGCTGAAAGCGCGACCTCCGATGGTGGAGTGGAGGGTGCGAGGAATGATCAGGGGGCGGTGCCAGTCAAGCAGAGGCATTGGGGAGTGACGAGGTTGGAGAGGTAGGGAGGTGCGAGGGAGTGAATGGATTTGAACACGAGTGTGAGAATCTTGAAGTCAATCCGTTCGGTGATGGGGAGCCAGTGGAGCCTGGCCAGAACTGGTCAGATGTGGGTACATAGTTTGGTCTGGATCAGTATGCGGGCAGCAGAGTTTTGAATGAGCTGGATCTTTTGATCTCTCTACTCACCGACATTGTCTCTCTCCAAGTTCCTCTGATTAAAAGTTCAACTTAATTTGTAAAAAAATAATTATTTTGGAGACATGCAATTTTCTCGATTCTTCGTCAGCCAAACTCTAAACTATGTACCATTGTAAGCATCAGGTTGAATTAGGTATTCTTAATTCTCCTACCTAATAACACATCTTATTTTGCTCCAGTGTAATTGCACACACAGACAGTGGCAGTAAAAAGTGGATATAAAAAGTAGATGTAGAATTTTGTGATGTAGGATAGCTCATCATCTCAAACTCAGACATTTATTTTTAGATTTAAGTAAAACATGTGAAAGAATTTTGAATTGATTCATCTGCGGGTTCCTATCGAGAAGACACACATTCCATCGTGTCAATGCAGATCGTCACCAAGGGCTCAGTCTTTCTCCGGAAACTGGATAGGCCAATCAGGATAAAATATTGTTTATATGGCCAGTTACCAGATTTTGCAAGTACTTGTCAGCTTTGCACACACTGCAAATCTCTTACATCTGTCTGTGTCCGCTTCTGAACATGACGGCCGTGAGCACTGATTTGTCGCATTACTATAATAGTCGTGAAGCGCTCAGTGGATTTGCTCAAACTTCATGAATGGCTTCTTTTATCAGAGCTGAGATTGCTTTTGAAAAATACCTGCTGGAAGCCATGCCTGGATCTTTGTAAGTGTCTGTGTGCAATCACAGAGTTCTTACCTCCAACACTGGAAGGCTTTATCAGACTTTACATCAGACTTAAAAGTGGCCAACTGCAGTCTTCAGAGTAATTCTTTTGAAAATAGTATCTGGATACCTGCCCAGTATGAAACCACACACTCGCAGCATTTATTTACCACCTCAATAAATTGAAAATGGTCAGTTCTAAAACGTTTAAGTGATCATTGTTGACAGATTAGGGTTTTTTTTTAAAAATTGTTTTGCTGTGAATTGCATGTGTGCCTCTTAACAAAGCTGCCATTGTAGTAATGAAGAACCACAAATGACTTATAATCAGACTTCATATCAAACTCTGGCTTTGCTTCAAAAGCGAGGATGGTGGTGAATGTCTGTCAATTGGATTCTTGTCTGTTTGAGAAAAAANGTTCCCGTCATTGAAGTCTTGAGGTTTTTTATAACATGGACATGTTGCAAACATTGTGACTTTTATCTTGTGGGCTGATAAAAATGAGGAATGAAACTTTTCCCATGTCCAGGTCAGGTTTGGCAAAGGCAGATGCAGAGAAAATCTTCCTCAACTGTGCTCCACCCAAATGCTTTTATTTGTTTAACATCCTATTATTGTACTAGCGAATCAACTTCAAGATCCTCATACTAATTTATAAACCCTTAAACGCTCTCGCCCTCCCTTCCTGCCTATCAGTCTGTCTGCTCCCTCCGCTCACCAGGCTCTACGTCCCCCACCTGGCCCGCCCCACCATCAGAAGTAAGGCCTTCAGCCTTTCTGCCTCCACCCTATGGAGCTCCATCCCATATTCCTTCCTCTTCTTCGACTGAACATTTGGCTACCCTCTCTGCCTTCCACACTTCCCAAATCAGTTTGTCTGTCTGTCGTCGGTCTCCCATCCACTACCATCCATAAAATCCAGATCATTCAAAACTGCCGCCCGCATTCTCACCCGCACGAAACTCCGCTCCCCGATCACCCCAGTCCTTGCCAGACTGCACTGGCTCCCTATCCCAGAGAGGACCAGAGAGGATCAACTTCAAGATCCTCACCCTTGTATTCAAATCCCTCCACTCCTTTGCACCCCCCTACCTCTCTGACCTCTCTCCTCAAAACAGTATCCATTGCCTTCGTTCCTCCGGGTCTGGCCTCCTCCTCGTCCCCCGAGTCCTCCGCTCCACCCTCGGCGTCCGTGCCTTCAGCCACTATGCCCCGAGGCTCTGGAATTCCCTTCCTCACTCCCTTCGCCTTGCCCCCTCCCTATTTTCAGGTCTCTGCTGAAGACCTTTCTCTTCGACCGCGCCTTTGGCCACCTTCCTCCCCCTCCCCCTGGTCTGGTCCCGGGATCCGTTAGTGTGAAGCGCTCTGAGATGCCGTCTGGCGTGGAAGGTGTTATATAAATCCAAGTTGTTATTTTGTCTTTGTGTCTGTCTTTTTCTCTTTTTCTTTCTCTCTTTTTCTTTCTTTCTCTCTCTCTCTTTCTCTCTCCCTCTTCCTTTTGTTTGTTCTTTCTTTCAAAGCCTCCAGAAAATCTGCCTCTGGCCTTGCCTACAGCCATTGCCCTCCCATTTCAGTGTCTGGCACGATCTCTGTAAACAACAACTTGCAGTTATATATCACCCTCCACGCACGGTAGCGCTTAACAGTGGTGGAGCCTGACACTGAGCTGGGGGGGAGAGGGGAGGTGGCTGTAAGCACGGTCGAAGAGTAAAGTACTTCAAGATATTATCCTTTGTGTATAACTGCTGTGTTGGATTTTCACTTAAGTTGATATTCTGCCTACTACCAGGGCATAATTGTACATCAGACTACACCAGGGCCATCCTTTTGGTTTGATTCTGAAATAAAACACAATATGTTCAGAACTTCCCACAGGTGCTCTACGATGTAGTCATATATTAGATATGCAGTTGACCCCCAAAATAGTGATGGACCTTCTTTCGTTTGAATGGTTATGATTCAGATGTTTGAATTTATGGCTTTAAATTAAACTGAGTACCTGGGTTGAAAGGGTTTGATGCAAAATAAGTTTCAGGAATCTCAGTCTTGATCCACAACCAAATTTCCATTCTCTAGCAGAAATTTACCCTGACTTTAAAAACTCAGGACATCAGTGTAGAAAGTGTGGCAAATGCAGGGGTGATCTACTAAACCGGGAGGTGGGGGCGAGGTGGGTGAGGGGAGGTTTGGGGAAGGACCTACATTCTGCGTTGCTTTATGTTGGAAAGGTTTTGATTTTGCTGGATACTTGATACTAAAAAAAAATTCAGCCCCCAGCATTGAGATCGCTTAACTCTGTGAGTACAGATCAAAGAAGAGGCTGCCTTTTTCGGTCCTGGTGTAAAGACCAACATTTGCTCAAGTCACTAATTGTGGAGCGCCTGTTCTTGACAAGAAAGTTTTTTTTAAAAAATATATCTATATAATTCCGTGTTTAAAACAAACAGATTTAAAACAAACTTTTCAAATGGGGAACGCAGTCATGTTTTTGGTTTTCTGGCTATTCCTCACAGCCAGTGTTTTGATTTTTAACTCTTGAATGTCTGTTATTTCTGTCTGTGTTTGTATAATCTCCATGCATTTTTTGCTTAACTAAATTTAAAAACTTAGTGTGAAGAAACATTCTTGAATTAATAATTGAAAAGGGGACGGAAGAGCACTGATGATATGACAGCTTTATTTACAGTGAATGGTACATTGATTACAAACATTTATAGTTTCTGTAATGTAATAAATACTATGCTGATTTTAAGAAAGAGAAAATCTTCTGCAATTCAAAGTGCATGTCCTATCTTCTCCCTTCAGTATTGCGTCACAATTAATTCAGGATTATTTATTATTATTATTGTTATTTTAAAAAAGCTTTGCAAAAGCTGCATTGGAATTCATCCCACTTACAAACACTCAGTTGTCACCCCTGGTATTGTGCTGTTTATTTACCAAGCTCATTACTTGATGTTAATTAATATTTGCAAATGGGCCACAAGTCAAGTTGACTGTGATTCAGGCAGGGTGTGAAAAGATCAAGTTATTTTTAGCTACTTGAAGAATACAGTAGTTTGCTGCTTCTTTCTACACTGAATTGTGTGATTTGGTCACTGACTTGGTCACTGGCTCAATTGGTCATCCTCACAGCTCATCAAGTCACACAATTCACTGTGGAGTCCTGTAGCTCAGTGTTTAGAGCACTCGCCTCGCAAGCAAGAGACCTGGGTTTGATTCCCGGTAGGGCGAAACCTTGGGCAAGTTTCCTTACTCCACACACCTGATAATAATCCCTCAAGAAAAAAACAATAATAAATTGGTCATTTCAATCCACAACTGTTTGGGGGCACTGCTGTGTGCAATTGGCTGCTGCGTTTCACCCACAAAATGTACAGTCAATTCACTTTACAGTATATTCTGTGAAACGCTTTGAGACGTCTAGAAGACATGAAAGCACTATATCAAATACAAGGATCATTATTATTCTCTCCCTGGAGGGGTACATCCTGTTTACCGCATGTTGGCAGGAGCCAAATGGGTCAGGGTTCCTATGCCTCACGTGGAGTATGTTGTTAAATAATGGATACAGTTAGCGGATGACGGGCGCCTGTGAAATTGTAGTCCAGTTGGGGGAAATCAAAGTGGGAGAAGATAAGAATTCAATGCCTTCAACAGGAGGGGAGAAAATTGGCCAGATTTTTGACTGATTTTTTTAAATACCACAACAATTTCATGTCTGTGCATACTTCTGGTCTCCACCATTTTATTTTTGTATGAGTACCAGATATTTCTCTGTAAACAAAGGGTTGCGGGGAAAAGTTCTGTTGGTTGCTTTTTGTGTTATTAAAGTTTGCTTTGGCTTTGTATTAACATGTTTTGTGTCCTTTTTCTTTTTCCTTCTTCTACCTGCGCCTTCCATAAGATTTCCCGAATGGAATATGTCCACTCAAAGAACTTGATATACAGAGATGTAAAGCCTGAAAACTTCTTGGTGGGACGACCGGGGAGCAAAAATCAGAATGTAATTCACATAATAGATTTTGGCCTTGCTAAGGAATACATAGACCCAGAGACAAAAAAACACATCCCTTACAGAGAACACAAGAGCCTTACTGGAACGGCAAGATACATGAGTATAAACACGCATTTAGGAAAAGGTAGGTGCCCTTTCAAGACATTCTTTATCAATTAATAACTGTGATTGAATGTTATAATTTCAGGTTTTAATTGCACAGGATTATTTTATTTATATATAGTAGAGTCGGGCAAGCGTGTGGCTGGTAGGGTCACGGAGTCTGGTGCGGGAGAACACATGAGCTGCAGAGTTCTGGATGATTTGCAGCTTGTGGAGAGAAGAGTTGGGAAGGCCGACAAGCAGGGAGTTGGCGTAGTCGAGCCTAGATAATAAATGTCTGGAAGAGGGTTTTGGTGGTCTGAGGGGAGAGGCAGTGGCGGAGCCGGGTGATGTGGCGGAGGTGCAGAGCGGGTCATGGCACAGACGAGAGATGGGAAGGATAGTTGAGGGTCAAACAAGACGCCAGGGTTCCGGACTGGCTCAGTAAGGTGGAGTGTGCATCCATGGGTGGTGATGCTGTCAGCGCCAGAGGTGTGGAAATATGTTAACTTGTTGAAACTTAAGAAATGCTTTTTAAACAAAGTTTTCCAAAGGAGATGACGACTAAAATGCTCACAATAATAGTGAACAAAAATATATTTGAGTGATGGACTAGATCATCATCAACCACAATTGACGACAGGACTTTTCTTTGTATCTTGTGGATTGTTACGTTGGTTGGTTAGAGTGAATTACGACCTGATTGCTTCTGTGGGTAAAATTTGATAGAATTTGTTGAAATAATTCCCAATTGGTTAATAACATCGAAATGGGTATAAATATATCCTTGTTAAGTCATATTACTGAGACGGCAAATGTAAAAGTATAACATCTTAACTGTTAAAACTGCAGTTATCATCTACCATGAATTGAACTCTGATCACTGGGTTCCGATGATAAAATCTTCTTGGGTTGGTCTCTGAATCAGACTCGAGGACTTACTTTTAACTTGGACTCTTTGTTTATACTGATGCTGGATTCTGCCATGTATATGTGTCCATAAATACAGACTTTGTATCCTCAGTATAAAAGAGCTAATGACATTTTAATTCAATTTAAATCACTTTCTCACAGATTAATAATAGAAATGGGTGCTAGGACGAATTTGTACCAGTTTAAATGTTGTGGTGTTAAATTTGCATTTAAATGTTGTCGTGTCAATTTTGCGCCAAACATGACTAATTCTCTATTTATACTGAGCTTTTCAAGCCAATTTAACTAAAATCCCAACTAAAGTCCTTCCTTTTTGATCGTGCTTATGGTCACCTCACCCCTCCCTCTCGCTCTGGCTCAGTGTCAGAATCCACCACTGTCAAGCTCTCTGGGACACTACCCCGCTGGCGTGCACTATATAAATGCAAGTTGTTGTTGTTGTAGGACACATTATACATCCTGCTCATGGTTGTAATAATTCTTAATCCAGAGCACAGGTGTGTTAGTAAATTTCTTTATTCTCAACGCATAGCACTCCAAACAACCAACCATAGCTGCACCCCAATTTGCTCCACTCCAGTGTCTTTATTTTATTGGCTCTTTAATTGCCTTTTAGTTCTTAAAGGGATATCCTACACTGGTTGTTAATCTTGATGTGAAGCGAATAGCGCTTGGAGTCTGCTTGCCAAAGTTGCCTTGAAGAGTTAGTTGGCTTCTCGATAAACAAACTTGTACCTCTAGTATAAATACTGATGGAAATTGATTTGGTTTCCACTCAATAAATGGCCCCAGTTAAAGCTTTTTGCCTATTGAATTTTGGATTGAAGCATTATAACTGTCATTCCCTGTTCCACATTGCTTTTCAACAGTATAAATGAAGCATGTTTAATCCAGTTCAAAAAGTAAAAGCGCTTTGAGACATCGCAATGACCTAATAAGGCACTGTATCAAAGGCAACAATTATTATTTATCAAAAAGGTGGTTTATAAACGCTAAAAAGTTATTTTGCTTAAAGAAGGCAAATTCATGAGAGCGGAATTATCTGAGCTATTGGTTCTTAGGGTTTTGCTTACAGTAATGTGTTCTTGATATGTTTGGATTATTTGGAAAAAAAATTAAATGATTGGTTCAGACAGACTTCTAAGTAGCTGCTTGACTGAGATAATGTGGATACAATGTGTAAGAGGACTGAAATGGGAAGATTTAATTCTTTCTGCCCAACGCTTATTGACCTAGCTATGTAATCTTTTCACTCAGCTGAGACTTCATGCAGGAGCATTCAGGGCTTAACAGCGCCATTTCTATATCTGAATGTTGCTTTTGTTTCCAAATTGCTGTTTTTCTCATTTTGCTTAAATGCTCACTGAATCAATTTTACTCACAAAATTGGTCCTGGAATATTTGGTTCTGAAATTGTGTTGAAGCAAAATTTGAAAGCTATCAATACAGGTTGATTTTCATCCCGATTGCAGGTTATACAACTCAGCTTTCTGCTGGTTGATGATTGCAGTAAATCTGACTTGCATCAGAACAAGGTTCTGCTTCATCAATAAAGCCTGAATCGATATCCATTAACTTTCATGATACCATTAAGTATTAAGCTCTAAAATATACTGTTATTTTTCTCCTTATCTGCCTCAGATAGTTTTGCTTTTCTTCCTAAAACTACAAAAATTTCTCAGTAAAAATAAACCAAATTGGATTCCAAAAATGGAACGTAATTGATAGCTATTTTAGTAACGTTTTGGCTCTGTGGTGATTGGAGAAATCAGCCGCTCAAGTTGTGAATTATTTTAAATAGAGGGCAGGTTTGATTACAGGTGGATTTTTCAAAACAGGTTTCCTTTTGAGCACAGTGATTAGCATTCTCTTTCAACGTGCCACTTTTTTCAGATGAGGAATTGATGCGGCTTATTTTTAGAACAGTTACCCCAGCGAAACCGGCAAACAACTGAGATGTCCGTCCTACCAACGTGAAAGGTGCTATACCAACTGGAAATTTTGGTCTCTTTCTCCACCTCCCTCACCAACCCCGTGGAATTATTGACCCCCATGTTAAATGGAACGTAGGCTTTTCAGCACTTGCTGACAAATTTGCCCATTAGGTTGACAATACCTCATACTAACAATTCTTCATACTGGATCTGTGTATTATCATGTGTTTTGTGTGAGCATTTTGGCACATGTTTTCTTTTTTTATAATGTATACCTGAATTTGATATAACTGTTAAATGTCAAGAAAATCTCAGCGCTTCACAAAGTTTCCATCAAGTGTAGTGACTGTGTATTTGTAAGCGAATGTGGCAGCTAATTTGCACACAGCAATGCCCCACGTACAGCCCCAAAGTAAATAACCAATGTTTGCCTGGAAGATCTTTGGCCAGGACACCTGGAGAAACTCCCATCTCTTTTCGAAAAGTGCCCAACAACAAGATTCCATTTATTGAGCGCCTTTCATGTCGGGAGGACGTCCCAAGGCGCTGTACAGTTGGGTCAGGACCCGAGCAGGGGGGAAATGGTCAGGGTGAGGGGAGGGAAGGGAGGGAGCGAGGAGGGGATAGAGAGTCGAGAGGGGAGCTGAAGGCACAGTCAAAGAGAAAGGTCTTGAGACTAGCCTTGAAGGAGGAAAGGGAGGAGGCGGCGAAGGCACTGGGGGATAGAGTTCCAGAGCATGGGGGCTGAGAGACTGAAGGCCCGGCCACCGATGGTAGGGCGGTTGGGGCGGGGGATGTGGAGCAGACCGGAGCCAGAGGAACGGAGGGTACGGGCAGGTAGGTAGGGAGATAGTAGGTCGGAGAGGTAGGTGGGAGCAAGGCCGTGAATGGCCTTGTAGGTGAGGATGAGGATCTTGAATTCGATCCTCTGGGGGATGGGGAGCCAGTGGAGGCGAGCGAGGGTGGGAGTGATGTGGTCCCGAAGCCTGGTGCGGGACAGTACACGAGCTGCAGAGTTCTGAATGACCTGCAGCTTGTGGAGGGAGGTGCCGGGAAGGCCGGCGAGGAGAGAGTTCCCGTAGTCCAGCCTTGAGGTGATAAAGGCGTGGACCAGAGTTTCAGCAGCGTGAGGGGTGAGGTAATGCCGTAGTCTGGCGATATTTCGGAGGTGATGGAAGGCGGTGCCAGTTGTGGCGCGGATATGAGGATTCTATCTTAGATAAATTTCTGTTAGGAAATATTATTAAGGGATACCATATATAGTTTGAGACACAACATGTCATGCGACTGCCAGAAAGGTGGAAGGTGAACTAGATGGAACTTGGTGTTCTTTTGCCGATCAAATTCGTATATTCTTATGTTCATAACCTCCACCAGAACAGACAGACAGGACCTCGGCTTTAGGTCTTAAAACGTTGCATTCCACCAAAATGGCATTGCAATGTCTGCCCTTTTACATATTTACATTTTTTTTAAAAAAATCTTTTTGGGGAACGAGGGAGGTTTGTAATAGTGATGGGCAGAGCCAGGTCTGAAATCAGTTTATCAAGGAAACCCATTCTCTGTACAGTAGAATTTATCTTTTGTGAGTGACATCACTCTTTGTCTGTAACAAGTGCAGTATCTGTATCTCACAGCAGCCATAAATGGTCTCATTCAGAATAACAACAAAGGCCAAACGCAGTGCATTGATGAGAAATGGATAGTTTAAATAGAGCATAAAACTTAATTCCTAAAATAATTGAATAATGACCCTCTTTCTGACTACTAAATAAAGACTGCAATCACTTACAGAGCACACACTCGGGTTGCCATAAAGGACTCTTGGGTACTGATTGCCAGCACAGTTCTTTTAGCATGGTACCCAGTGTATTCAATAAGCTCACGGTGGTACTTTATATCAGGCTAGAGGACAGTAATGTTAAGTTTGCCATTATCTCTTCACGGGCTTTTACAAAATGTTCTTTATTTAAATGTTTTGTTTTGGTTGTTTTATAGCTGAAGTCGGTATTGTGGCATTTTATTTTTTGCAGTTTTCTGAGTAGAAGAGAGTCTTTATAATACTTAAAGCCTTTGTGTAGAGAGTAAAATAGTGTGAAGAAATATAAAACTCTGAGAAGTCCCATTGTTCCTGCTAGAATTTAAGGCAATTTGAAATCAGACTTGGAGAAGTTCC